GAAAAGATTCAGACGAAAACCCTCCATGAGTTTATCTAAAAAAAAAAAAAAAAAAACTAAAAAAAAAAAACGGGTTTGTTATGAGGCTGACCTGAGTGTGCGCTGGTTCTTAAGTAAAGCCTGCAGGCCCAAAAGTCCCTCCTTCCTCTCTGACCAGTTGGCGCTGGCGCAGCGGTTGAGCACCTGGAAATCACAGCAAACACCAGGCAGATTAAGATTCATCTCTTTCTGCAAGAAACAGCTGAAAGATTTAAAAAAATGTTTTTGCTTCAGATTTTTTTTTTAAATCCAAAATTCAATTTCCTAGCTTTTTTTTTTAATTACTATTATTATTATAAAAAAATATACAAATGACAGAAAACATCTTTTAAAAAAATGTATTTCAATCAGTCCTTCTGTATGTTGACCTGAATACAAAGTTTATCGCTCGTCAAAAAAGATTGTTCTTCTTCGGTGGACTAAAATCACTCTGAACGACGGAAACCCCTGGACAGACTTGGTGAAATTTTTATTTTTTTTTAAAAATCCAGATTTTACAAAAAAATTAAATCTAAAAGTAAAAAAAATAGATGATTGTTCAGCCCTATAGTGTATTTGCATTGAAAAAAAAAAAACACTGTACCCAAAAAACAGTAACCTTTAACTTTTTCCCATTAGCAACGTAATGACCTCAAATTGCTGCCACCACCAAATAGAACAATGCAGATGGTTTATTAAGGATTTTATGTTAGTTTTCCACCACACTGTTTGTGCAGAACAAAGTTTAGTTTTGGTTTTATGTGACCAGAGCAACTTTCACACATTAGCCGAGTCTCCTTACTCGACTTGCAGCAAACTGAAAACAACAACAACAAAAAAAATCATGCAAATATTTTGTGTTGCCTGTGAAATTAAGTATAACTAAACCATTTCCCTCGGTGCCTACCTCAGCCACATCCTCAGTTTGCCTCATGTAGGTGGGGATGGCCCCTCCGTTCCTCGAGCTGTAGGATCTCTCCGAACAGGCGCTGGATGCGTCGCTGTTGGCGTCGTCGTCAGAGTACATGTTGTAGTTCTCGTACCGCCGCCGTGCCGGCTTCTTCTGCAAGACAGAAAGAACCGGTGAGCGTAAGGGGAAGAGGGGAAGCAGAAAATAAACACGACACATCCTAAAGGAGCACATCTAAGCAACAACAACACACACACACACACAGGTATGATCCAGGAGAAGAAGCTGACCTTAGATCTCATGTCTCCCAACAGCTGACAGCATTAAACAGAGGTAGAAGCCGGGATTAGAGAACACGCAGACATGCACCCGAGGAGATGTAAGCTGCACGTTCGTTCCAAGAGTACGGGAGTGTGTCTCCATGCGAGGCTTCAGAGTTTACTGTACGTACCAGCGCATCCGCGAGGGCCTCCTCTACGTCGGAGCCGGTGTTGAGGACCCTCATGGCGCTGACCGACGAAGAGAGACGACTGGATTGGCTGATGCCGAAGCCCGATCCTGTGGGCCGAGACGGTCGCAAAAAGAGAGGGAGGAGGGGAAAATATGGAAAACCGAGCTGTTAATAAACCTCCAGGATAAAAGGGAAAACACTCTCTGTCCTCCATTCAGCCGGATCCACAGATGAGTCCCTACCTCACCGACAACATTCACACAACATCACATCCCGATTGTCAACCCTGGAAGTTAATGCGATGACTTGTTAGACGACACTGAACTTGCCACTGGGGGGGGAAGAAAGGATGGCTTAGGAATACAAAGAGAGCATGTTGGCGATCCTGCAGAGAAGGGTCGAAGCTAAATAAAGAAAATAAATGGATAAAAAAAATAAAAATACGGAAAAATGGTTATCAGCTGGCAACTGAACGGGCGGAAGCATGCGATTCCACTGGAGGGGGTTCGACATCCTAGAGCAGAACGTTAAAAACCAAATTAAAACAATGATCGATGAGGCACGAGCAAGCAGGACAAGATGGGTGGCGCCGAGAAGGACGTCAAAGAAAAACGGCGAGAGAAGTTTGGCCGAGAAGGTGGGGTGGACGGAGGGCAAAGAAATAGATGTACTCAGCCTTCACCTGCAGCCCCAAAAGCGTCAGGTGTGTGGAGCGCTCCAGTGGAGCGGGAGTAGCTCCGAGTTGCTGCAACCAAGGTTAAAACACACACACACACACACACACAGAGAGAGTTTAACAGCCGCTCACGCGAACGCAAGAATCACACGCAGGAACGTGACACAGCGAGTGCAGCGTGTGAACACAGAAAGAAAGGCAGGTTCAGAGCAAACTGATTCGTACTGTAGTTATTCAATATGCCTCAACTGTTTCATAGTTTGAATGTACTTGATTTATATATAAGATTTTATATGGAACACCAACAAAAAGTAGCTTAAAACATAAGAAAAGCCTGAAAAAGTGCGTTGTGCATACGTCTTCAGCCAGTTGTACGTCTGATTTCCACGCAAGAGTCGTCCTGTAAATATTTTAATCTTGGTATAAATCCAGCTGCTCCGTGGAGGTGTCGGAGGTTTTACAGAGTAAATAAACAGCAGCATATGGTGAACCTTGAAGCCGGATGGTTATAAAACAACATCACGAGCTTTGGCCGTCTCTCAGAGCTCAGTTCAGTTCACCATCTCAAACTGGGAAGATTTTGAGATGGAGTACCAAGACATAGCAAGGAGAGCATTAATGAGAGAAGCAGCCAAGAGGCCCATAGTAATTGTGGAGGAGCGGCAGAGATCTGCAGCTCGGGTGGGAGAATCTGCTGAGGATTATTTGGTAGCTAGAGCTACACAATGTGACAACAAAATGTCCCGAGAGGCTGCAAAATACCTGGAAGGTCTGATGAGGAGCTGAGTCCAAATATATGCCACACTTTTCAGATCTTATTAGTAATATGTTAAAAACTAGGGTTTTTTTCCCCACTCCTTAGTCATCCAGCACTTTTTGTTGGTCTGTCACATAAAACCCCAATAAAATGCACTGAGGGTTTAGAGGTGGGTAATGTGGGCTTCAAGTTTTATCGCAATATTTTATGGTGACCAAGACAATAAGTGACAATAAAAAAAACTATTTTTATTTCTTTTATGCAACTGTGTGGCTTTGGCTGCACAAACACAAATATTACTCTTGGAAAAACAAACCATTTAGTCACAAAGTGTGATTTGTGTCACTAAAATGCACACACTAATTGCATTTAATCACATTCTGATTATAGATCGTTAGTGACACACCATTAATGAACAGAGGAGAAAAACAGTTCAAATAACCCAGATAAATACGGGCGGTTTAGAGTTTCTTAATACATTAATCGGAATTTATTGCGACAACAATAAATCTGAATCTTACAATAAGAGATTTATTGCGATAATATAATTAATGCCCAGCCCTACTGAGAGTTTTGAATGGAAAAAAAACAAAAAAAAACAACACATTAAAAAAATGTGTTGTAATGCGCTATATGCACAGGTTAAAACCTAAGTTACACTAGAACCTAAAAATGGCGTCACGTCTGCAGACTCGCTCATCTCAATTCTCCCTGCACTTCGCCTCTTACTGCTTACTCACCAAGAGGTGTGAAGGAGCGTGCGGGGCTGGTGTCCCGGCTGCTCTCCCTGCTGGCCTCCCTGCTGCAGCCCTGACTCATACTGGGCCGAGGGATACGACTGCCTCGAGCTAACGCCGCCCAAAACGTACACCGCAGGACAGGAGAGGAGAAAAGTGGAAGGGAGGAAAGTGGTTGTAAGAAGACAAAAAAAACGTACAGCGAAACGGATAACCAGGAAGTCAGGAAAAATCCAGACACGAGACGTGACGGGAGGAGAATGGACGCACACGAATGAAGACATGAGACAGAAGAGAGAAAAGGTGACAAACATATCAAACAAGAAAAAAAATAAACAATGAGCCAAGCTGACTGGTCCTTAGGAAGCATCTCGACACCAGCAGCTCTAACAGTTTAATACCTTCACACTGTTAGATATGAAAAGTATAATGCAGACCTATTTTCTGTTGCCTGACAATCAATCAGGGTAGCGTGACTGCTAATGCGTCACGTTACCCTGTACACACCAGCCTCGTGACGAAACATGGCAGTGGAGGCATCATGCTTTTTCTTAAGCAGGGATCATGATGAGATGCATCTCTAAGGAGCAAAAAGCCTGCAGAGCCCAGCAGCCTGACATTTTCACAATGTATTCGTTTCCCCTCATTAAACACAGATTAGAAAAAACAAACAAAAAAAAAAAAAAAAAAAAGAGGCATTCAAGGTGAATTTAGCAATTGAAGCAAGTGGGTGAGAGGATGAGCGATGCATGCTCATCTTTTCATCTTCAGCAGCTACTCAGCCATCCACGGGTAAATCACCACCTGACATGATCCTCGTTACACAGCCACTGCCGATTAGTACGGACAGGAGGAAACATGTCCAACTGAACATGGCCGCCCATCACCACAACAAGCACAGCCACGGAGTCGGACAAATTAGAGAGGAGGAGGAGGATCTACGAAGCCGAGGCAGGTGAATGGGGCCGAGATGGTGGATTTGAAGGTGATGAAGGAGAGATGGGGGGTGGAGGGGGTGATTGAGGATGAGGATGAGGAGAGGTCGGAGCTGGAGCCTTACCTCCTCTGCTGGCACCGTTGTAGTTTGAGCTAAAGCTAGAAGGAGCTAGAGGACGGAGGAAGCAACGGGAGGAGGAGACGGAAAAACAAGCAGAGTTGGTATTGATAAACAAAGCGTGTTTATTCATCTCTTTCGCAAACGTGACACGGGAACGCCACGGGTCGTGGGTTTCGCGGGCTCGGTCCAGCGGAGTTGCTACTCACCGACGGAGAGCCGAGTGGGCGAGGAGTCCCTGGAGCAGCCCTGGCTGCGGGGGATGCGGCTGCGCCTGTGTCCGTCCCCGGTGGCTCCGCCCAGCACCCGGTGAGCCCCCGAGCTCATGGTGCTCAACGCCGTGGTGGTCAGCACGCGACCCGGAGAGCCGCTCCGACTGCCGGCTTCAGGGAGGGAGGAGGAGGACGAAGAGGAGACACAAACAAGGAGAAGAAAGTCAGAGCGCTGTCCGTCCAACCAGAGGAACGAAATGATGCAGCTAAAGACGACACAGTATTCACAGACACTATCCCACTTTTAGTGCTGTGCATAAAATCATTTAATCACCCAGTGCACCAACAGCCTCTCCAGGTTAAAATGTGCAAAAATCCCTGAAAATAAGCTCTTTAACAGTTTGCACTTATTGTCACATCTAATAATTTACAGAATTGAAACCATTTTTACGTTACTCATTTAATTCATTTACCGTTTTAAATGAGCCTGCCACATGTTGATATAAACAAAAGATATGTTGTCTTTGATACAACACTTGATAGAATATTATATTTTATCATTTTCTTAGAAGTAAACTCTCTTTGATTGACAGGAGGGTTAAGCAAATTGTTCCACATATTTATTTCATGAACAGAAACCAAAACGCTCCATTTGTTTAGTTGTGTTTATTTATTTATTTTTTTTTTAATCTCTGATCTTCTCAAATTATAAACCCAATCTCTACATCTTTTTTTTTACACTTCACTCTTGAGATAATCACTGTCCGGGAACCTTTAAGTTTTATTTCCTCAGGTTGCATAACTATGAGGGCAGCTAGTTTTCAAAATGAGAAAGACAAGAGAACATGCCATTCAAGTAAAGCAGATGCCAGTAACTGCAGTCAGGGCAATGATTCAAATACAGGAGGAGGAACAGGTTGATCTCTGGTGGCAGGACAGTCAAAGATCTCTCTCTCTCTCTCTTTATACTTTAAAGTTTAAACCCAATAAAATGCTATCAAGGACGACTGAAGACTTTTCTGGTGTTCTGAGCGGGAGATTACTGCACTGCCACAGAAGCTGCATTCATCTTCAGGGTTTTTATACATCTTTACCACAGGAGCCAATAAATGCACAGGATGCTGTAAAGATGATGGCTAACAACTTAAAATACAGTGTGTGTGTGTGTGTGTGTGTGTGTGTAATTAGATAACACAGCGGTGTTCGGTGTGACTGGAAAGAGGATTCCTGGGGTTGACACAACTACAACTTACAAAAAGTTCATATTGGAATGACACATTAGCATGGATTCATTCAGAAGGATAAATATTCAGCAGCAATTGGATCATTTTAAAATCATGACATCAAATTTAGCTGACCTGTTCTCCAAATATCTACTGAAATGGAAATTTTTTTACCCTTCATCTATACACTAATTTTACAATCTAATGTCCTCTTTCCCCTGGGGATCCTGTCTCCGAGTGCCAAGCCCACAGAGTCTTTTACACTGCAAAAACAAAACTTTACCTAATATTTTTTTGTATAGTTTCAATGGCAAATGTCTTAGTTTTGTCTCAATTCAAGCTCAATAACTTACAAGTAACTTTTCAGCACAATATAGGAGCTTGTTATCAGTGAAATAACTGACCAGAGGGGAAAACATATTATAACTAATGGCATTATTGTCATTTTCCTGTTGCAATTCTTAGGAGATTTTTTTTTCTTCAGATATTATGTTTTATATGTGGAAAATGCCTTATTCCATTACTTTTTCTCATTATTTAGGAATTACAGACATAAAACAAGCTCCTATATTCTGCTGAAAAGTTGCTTCTATGTTAGTTTCTTCTTATTTCCAGTGTGCTGAGATATTTTGTGTTTTTGCAGTGCAGTCTAGTGATTTGTTCTTCTACAACCCTCAGGACAAACAGTTGAGGTGTGAGATGTGAGTTTGGATTAAAAGCTCTAGCGCTCTACATTATGCTGGACTAAAGCAGCTCTTCATATTTGAACACAGGTATGCAGATCAGTCTCTGTGTGACAGATGACTGATCTAAATCCACACACACACACACACACACACACACACACTACCAACACTGAGCAACAAGCACCCAACTTAAACACATTAAAGAGAAAACTATGTTTATATAAGGTACAAAGTACCACACTGTCTGGTTCTAATCAGGCGCTTTGTTGCTAATTAAGTGACCAGTTATGTTTTAAAACTGCTTCCTTTATTTGCTTATCGTTATTAGACACACAAAATAAGAGAAAATTAAAAAAAAAAAAAAAAAAAAAAAAATGAATCTTTTGCAAATCCAAACACGAGTGGGTGCAAAAACTCGACGCTTCCAAAGCGAATCAGCATGAAAGCTAAGCATCAGTAATCTGTAACTACAAATCCCAGCATGCCTCGGTGACAGTGCAGATAGCTTTAAAGTGATCTGTCTAAGTGCAATATGGGTAAAAAGACAGAAAAGAGAAGTCAGGGGAACAAAGGAAACCAGACAGACTAGAATTAGGGAGTGAAGGAAGTAAAAAACAAAAACAAAACAAAAAACAGTAGCGCTGTAGCCTTACCACCAACAGGGTTAGCAGACTGAGATCCTGAGACATTAAGCCCATTGGTTGAGAGAAGGGGGAGAGGGCAGAGATAAGAGGAAGGCGAAGGAACAGCGGGTTAAATCAGATGAGTTATGGGTTAATGCAGAAGCGTCATGGGAGCAAAAAAGCAGAGTCAGATGGGAGCGCATCCGTGTGTTTCAAAGTGACAGTGAAGGCGAAGCTTCGGCATGTTAGTCAAATCAAATCGCTAAAGAGAAAACAAGATCACAGACGAACTGAACCAGCCGCAGATGGTAAACTGGGAAAAGCAGTGCATGTTTGGTCTACCCGTCACAATGAGGAAATTAAAATCTTTAAAAGAACAGAAAAAAAAAACACGCTCTCTCACTCTCTCATCTTTAAGCTTCGTTTTATAGACACAAAATGAATCCTGGGATTCAGGGTTTAAAAGTCTGATGAGAAAACCTGAAAGTGGCTCTCCGTCCAAATGTTCAAGTTCGACTGGTTAACTCAGTTTACGCCACACGCATCTCTGCATGATTTGTCCCTTAAAAATCATTCATACTGCTTGAACTATGCCATAAAATTTATTACATTGGGATTTTATGTGATTGACCAGAGGTCTGCAACCTTTAGGATCCAAAGAGACGCGTTTCCCCCCTCAGTCTTTCTGGATAAAGTACCTCCAAAATCTACCTGACCCTTCCTCCCCCAAAAAAACTCATCAAGTTTAAACTTACTTGCCAATTGGGTCTAAACAATATTCTGAAAACTTAACAATCCCATTGAGTGTTGTATTAACATTACTTGAAATAAGTAAACAAATACTTAACAGTCAATATCTCTCTACTTTATGTTATAGAAACATAAAACCCAGATGGATCAGGCTCCTGGGAAATAAAATCAGTTTCCATCTTATCGATATGGTTTTCTTGAAAGGTTTAAATGAGATTTTAAATTAGTCAAAAACGAGTCAGTTTTGAAAATAATTTAAAATGATGAATAATTTTTAAAAAGCACACTAGATTCAGCCAAAAAAATAAAAAATAAAAATAAAAAATCTGAAACATGAAAAATATTCCTATTCTCATTTTCCTGTTGCAATTCTTAGCAGATGTTACCTGAAAGCATTTTTATTGCTTTTAATAAATAACAAAAATATTGCTGAGTTCAAGAACTGACTTTTACATTTTTTTCACTTTTAACTGGGAAACAAAAGTAATTGTGGCCCACATGTACTTTTTGACTTGTCAAAAAGTTTGGATACCCTCTGGTCCATCACTCCTAAACACCTTGACGTTTGTGGTTGAAAGTGGACAAAAAATGAAGAAAAAAAAAAGAGATATGAATACTTCTGCTTAAAGTACCTTTCTGACAACATTAGCCAAAGCTACGCTAAGACCGCGTAAAGCAACATATCCACCACACCAACCTCAGTGATGAGACACGGCATGCAGGGGGAAGTACAAACACTACTCTTTTTAATGAAACACCTTGATCAGAATGAGAGCAGCAGCAGGTGAGCCACCAATCCCACTGTGGGACACAAAGACAAGCACACTCCGACAAACAGGATACCTGGCGTGCAATCGGATTCGTCGGAACCTGAAGGCACAAAAACATTAATATGGAGCTTATCGTCACCGTGACGGCAACAAATTGTGAAACTCCACAATCAAATCCTGAGGAAAAAAAGAAAACAAAGAATCCTGGCAAACGCCTTACGCACGCGCACACCCGGCATGTCTGCGATGCCGTAGATCAAAGGGGGGAAAAGAGCCTTCTGCCGAGAGAGGACGAGGCGGGAAAAAGTTACTTACGTTGCGACTGGGAGACCATCTTGGTGCGGCTGCGCCCTCGAGAGTCCACCTGGCTCGACACGGTGCTGGCGGTCGACAGGGGCTGCTTGGCACGAACTCGGCCTGCGTGTGAAGGAGGACGACATTGACTTCCTGCCCCCACAGCGGCAGCGCCGTCTGCAGCAGAACAAAGCCCAGAAGCAAAGGAGCGCCAGCAGCCGATGGAAAGCGTCTGACGCTGAAAGCTGCTCTGTCGACATTCGCAATCAGCCAGCCGTAGATGCAAACAGCAGGGATGGTTCAGCGGAAAATAAGACAATAAAGCCACCAGATATCGCAAAGTAATTGAAGGATTTAATCAAGCAGGAAGCCTTTTGCACTGTACAATAATCAGTGGATTATAATGATTATAGTACTGATTATTTTCTTTGTTAAAAGCAGCAATTTAGTTGATTATTATTATTATTATTATTAATGAATTAATCTCACACTACTCTGTTAGTTTGCAATACTAAAATGCTAGAAGAAGAAGAACTACAACATTAGCTTGAACATTTGCATTTTTTTTTCAATAATTATTTCAATCATTCCTCAATTATGGAAAAAAACAACAACAACAAACTAGATTGGATTTCTGCAAATAACTGCTGGGATCTATATCTGGGTCTTCTAGCCTAGAACATCCCCAAACACCAACACAAACCTAACAGGAGTCTTACCATTGTCTGATCTGGTCCCTACAGACAGACAAAGAGGGAGCAGGTTGTAAATATGTGGTTTCACCTTCTGTAGTGTATTATTTCTATGATCACATGACTTCAAAACACATCCTGACGTAAAAAAAATCTGACTGAAGCAGTTTGAATCAAATACAAAATGGTTAGTTTCCTAGTTTCAAGTTAAAAGCATATGATGACTTCCATGTATGCAAGATGGACAGCAGGGGGCGCTGTGGTCATAACAGTTTAAATAAGCCTGGATGGAAGTGATTAAAGGAGAAAGCAAAGGGATGAAGCAGAGTGAGATGATCTTACCATCCGTTTTATCAGAGGCATCATCTTAAGTAGCAAAGAGAGCCGAAAAGGAGGAAAAGAAATAATAGCAGAAAAAAAAAATATAGATACAAACAAAAGAAATAAGGAACAAGGATTGGACGAAAATGAGGATTTTAAAGAAATGGTGTGGGGGGGGGGGAAACAAGGAGCCAAAAATGACAAACACAGGAGGCAGAGAAGAGAAAGGCAGACAGAGGAAAAAGAAAGAAGAAAGGAGCACAAAGTGCATTAGTAACATACCGTTTGCTCAAAGAATCATGCAGATGTTCGTTACAACAACAAACTCCTCTTATGTGACGGACCGACACAAAGTGCCGCGTGATTGTGAGAGGAAGAAAAAAAAAAAAACATTACGGGTTTTCCAAAGGTTTTCCTGTTTAAAAAATAAAGCTGTGCATTTCTATTTGACTCACTGAAGTTAACATTTTTAAAGAAAACCTTAAACTCTAACTACAGAGGGACAACATCTGTCATGTTTGGACCTCTAAGAGACTGAAACGCGTGTCCGTTCCTCTTTTCTTAAAGCAGCTGTCAGATTGGGTGGACGACGACAGAGAAGCGCAAGTTTCAATTTTTCTAACATATTTTGACATGGATTTAGGTATTGACTTTGACTGGGCCATTCTAGCAGTATCATACTAAACTATTGCATTGTAGCTGTGGTTGTATTGCAGGATTTGTTTTGTAGGGATGTTGCGTTCAAGATAATGTACGATGTCGGTCTTTCGCCACACCTTTGTTTTGCCTCACTCAACTGGAAAACTCTTGCACAGGTTTGCTGCGTCCGTCCCCTACATGTCTTGTAAACATGGCCTCCATTTCCACTGATTGCTCTTCTTGTCGCTTCTCCGTTGAGTGAATGATTAACAGTTTATAGATTCTTTCACCTGAACTGTGGATCTCCACAGCCATTGGCTGTACTAGATATTAAAGGACGAATCCAAAAGCATGCCACATTTCTCAAACGCTTTAGCTGTGTGCTAGTTTGTGTTGGTCCATCACATAAAATCCCCCCCCCCAAAAAACAGCAGATTGTCGTTGTAACGCAACAAAGTATGAACAAGTTCAAAGAGCATGACTATTTCTGCAGGCGTACAAATTGAAACAAAGAGGAGTCACATTCATCTACGGAACATGCAGAACATTAACGGATCGACAGGTGGACGGGCAGGTGGGCAGGAGAGAAGAGGAGCAGAAGCAGTTCAAAGCAATAAAAGCGTGCGAGTCTGTGGCTTCATCCCCGAGAACCGATTTTATCTGAGATTTTATCCCTGCACTGATCTGAGACGACTCCTTAGGCGTCGTTCTTATCCGGCCGCCTCGCTTCCCGGCGAGCACCTGCTGACCGACGGCCTGCTCTGTCTGATCTGTCGTCTACCTCGCCTGGCGGGGCTCTTACCCAGAGAGGAGTAGGAGCCGGGGGGCAGGCGGCTCGCTCCCTTGGTTTGTCCGACGTGCCGGTATTTAGCAACTGCTGCCGCGTTCACGTCCACGTCGCTGCGGGAACGCTGCAGTGAGACCGAGGAAGCCCCGCCCCTTGAACCAGCAGGGACTGACGGGGGAGCAGGAGCAGGTGTGACGATGGGAAAGAAGGGATGGAAGGTGACAGGATATACAGGGAAAAAAACAAAAAAAAAACAACAACAACATCACAAACGCATGCAGGCACTGTACTGCACAACACAGGAAACATCCATACATATACACCAACATGTATATGTGTACAAAAAAATCACGAAGTGGTGACTGTTTGGACGATGTAAATGGGAATGATGGGGGAAAAGATTTTGAAGGAAACAACGTCTGCCTCTCTCCGTGTGTGTGAGATCTGAACTTCAGATTACGTGTTGAAGGAAGGTGCGGCGTGTGTGTGTGTGTGTGTGTTATTGGCCGCTCTGTGTGGGTGCGCTTGACTCACCTCGCCCCGGAGCAGCCGACCACTTGGAAGTCATAGGACGGCTGATAAAAGAGGGGGAAAACTGGGTCAGGACTCAAACGCTCAGATGACCAAAGCAACAACCTGTCAGAGTTCACGTCGCCTCAGAGCAGACGGCGTGGAATCAAGTTTTGTTCCCCATCGTTCTAAATTAAACTGTAAAACATCCTGAACTATATTTGGAGAGCCCACTGAGCATCTAGACTTAGTACATCATCAAAAAGTTACTTTAAGTGGTTTATAAATGAAATGTAAAGAAAAAAAAAACCTACAAGCATATTTAATTTGCACAGAAACATTTCAACATTTCTCCTCATTATTATCACAAATTACACCTATTTAGGGAACATTAGTACAAACTAGAATATTATATACGACCAATGAAAGGAGTTTTTAAACGGAGAAATGCTGTGTTCTGGTCTAAACAACAAAAGAAATAAAACTACAAAAGACTACTTTTTTTGCCAAGTTCAAACATTTTAAGGGAAAGTTGAGTGGAAGGATAAAATTCTGGTAAAACATGGATAATTACAGCCTTTGTGAGGTGGCGAAGGAAAAGCAGAATCAACAGTTTTGGTGGGGTGAAGGGGGGGACTCACAAAGTCTAAGCTGCCGCTGGAGTCAACGCCTTAAGAGTCACAACACATGACCGTGTCATTCTTTGTGTTAAGCAACTTCTGCACCAGCGACAATGTTTCTTGTCTGAGCCAAGGATAGAAGGACAGGACGAGCTTCATGCAGATGCTGACAACATTTTCCAGCAGGTCTCAGAACCTGACCACACTCCTAAAAGTACTAACAACACCTGCAATGATCATCCCTGTTACTGACTGGCCAGCAAGTTCACCAAGTTCAATATGGGATATTTGACAATATCCCATATTCTTTATGGCAGAGGTTCCCAAACTGTGGGGCGCACCCCCTAGAGGGGGCGCCATGCCATCGCGGGGGACGGAGGGGAAGCCGTCTCTCTGATTTTACTCTTTATAGGTAAACGTTTGAGTAAAAGGCAGCAAATCTCCCGAGCAGGGAGCGGATTAACAGGGAGGCTTTCCGTAATGTTGGCTGAAAGATCAGAAACCGGATAAATCCCTTTTCCTCCAAAATTACGTTAACGCAAACGCTCGACTGCAGCGACTCGGCAAACTAAGAGCTCTAAAGTAAGTAACAGGCGAACAGCTCTGAACATTTATTACTTAAGGCTCTCTTGGGAGGACGATGAGGAGCGGTCGCTCTGGGGAAGAGAGGCCACGCTGCCGGAGCTCTTCAGACAGGACTGCAGCGTCTTCTGGTACAACGACTCCAAGGAGTTGTACAGAGCGTCGGCTTCACCTGGGAAGTGGTTCCTCAGGCCCCAGTAGGTCCTTTAAGAGACAAAAGGCGGGTGAGGAGGCAGAAAAACACCAACCAACAGGAGAGAGTAGAGAAAAATAGACACGAAGAGAGAGATAAACAACGGAGAGGCAGAGTGCTCGTAATGGAGTTTTCTGGAAAGCCTCTGCATCCGGATTGCCTTACTTGCGGGCCTCCACTCTGGCCTCCGAGTCGGCATCTCGAATTCCCTTTTTGATGCTTTCCACCAGAACTGCAGTGTGTCTGGGGCAATAAAAAAAAAAAAAAAGAAGAAAAGCCATCAAAAACAACAACAAAAACAGAAGGAGTGTTAAGTGAGAAAAAACATTCCCGCATCTGAAAAAACGTGAATGTAAATCTAGCAGATCGGTTCAGACTAAACCGTTCTGATCTAGTCCTCCAAACCGTAGGGACACTGCAGACGCAGTTTGTGAGAAATAATTTGGTATCTTTTTTTCGGCATGGCATCAAAAGAATTCATCAAGTCAAACGCTTTTTACAGAAAGAAAAAAAAATCTAATCGTTTCAAACAACTTAAAAAAGGACAGCGTCTACCGAGTCGTAGAGAAGTCACAGCAACAGCTCAACAGACTTATAGTTGGCACAAAATTTACAGTCAGTATTCCCATTTTTGTTGTTTCATAAGGTACATGACGTAAAAAAAAAACCGCTGGGGAAACATTTCTAGTTGTAAATCTTTAATCACATCATCTGCCAAAGTGGTTGCAGAGGAGAACCGAAAGCTCAGTTTGTCCTGCTTTTTAAGACAGAAACTGTGAATAGTTTTAATGTCCTCACTTTTCTAGAGAGTGGGTCTGCCATTCCTGTAGAAGAAGGTCCAGGAAATAATAACAGCGCCTGGAAATTAGACATTTATTTTCATGAGCTTTTCTCTTAGCGTACTCATCATCAGCACCAACGCGTCCGTTGGTTCGGTCGTTTGCGTTACCTTCTCACAGCCACAGACTTGGACGTGCAGTTGCTGGTTATCAGAGGGATGAGCCGCGGGACGTGGGTGTGCTGCGGAAACAAAGGATGTGAAACGAAAGGTCTGACCTAAATCCCAAACACTAACGACCAAGCGTGGGAAACACTCACCCGTATAATGATGCGGATGGCGGAGACGCCAGAGGTGGCCATGATTTTGGCGCAGTTGGGAATGAGGTTGAACAGAACGGGGACGATGGCTTCGGCTCCATGGTCAAACTTATTGCCCAGGACTGACGAGAGATGGCTAATTAAAGAAGAGATGGACAAATGTTAGACACGGTTTGACATAAACCCTTTAACGATGAGCCAGAATGGCAGGTTTCAGCTAATTTCACACCACATTGGATGTGCAAAAACAGTTGCAGCTGATCTGAAGAACGCAATTTCACTTGGTTTATTTTTAATTAAAGTTTTTTTTTTTTTGTCGTTACATTTTCACCCTCACATCAAAGCAATTTCCTAGTCTGTGAACGTGTTTAGTCGCAATAAAATGATTCCGAGTCATTTCTCTTTTTTTCTCAATTTGATCTGGACGTTTGTTACTATAATCAATTACTGCTACTCACACCCATTTTTCACTTTTTATATAATTTTACTGATTTTTCAGTTGTTTTAGTACATTTTTCAATTTGAAACGGTAACAATTTTGTCTAAATTCACGGCAGAAATTTGTACAGAGGTCAGTTTTTAAGCGTGGAGAACAGAAAGTCAGAAGGCAAAGGACAACAAACGGTTGAGGACGAACTAAAAAAAAAAAAAAAACGAATGGATGGACTTTAGAGGACGAAACACTGAATAAAAGCGTGAGGAAAAGGAAATATGTGACCGACACTCACGCCACAGTGATGCATGCCTCTCGGACCACTTGTGAGCGCAGATCTTTAGCAGACAGCTTGAAGGCTCCGTCTAGTAACCGGAGGTGCTGGTAAAAGCAGTCGTAGCCGGCTGCGCCCGCGACCAGCAGCGACCGGATTTTCTTCAGCTGCGAAAACAACCAGAATGCGTCTAAGAGCAAGAACGGGACGTGAAGTTGAGCAGCATAATTCAAAGACGACAGAAGGGGAATCAACACACAGCGTTGCATCTCTGGTCCCAGTCGTGTTTGTCGTCAGAGCAGATCTCACGGATCTTGTTGAGGTTGTCCTCAAGGTCCCGTGTGGAGTAGATCTGGAAGCGAAAGCAGAGGGGTGAGCATTATTCATAAGGGCCATTAAGTCACTAATAATAAGCTGCTAAAATGGATGAACGTTTAAAAACGTCCTGGTTTTAGCTTCTGTTGTACCTGAACAGGAGGGACGTCTGTGAAGGCTCTGATGAAATCTTCTTCATCCAGTGCTCCAGCACTTTCCTTAGACACTGGAAGGGGAAAAAAAAGAAGGGGTGAGAGACAAGTCAGTGCATCTAAAATAAAATAAAATAAATAAATAAAATAAAAGTCCAATGGAGAGCGAATAAAGCCGTGGTAATAATCCCCTAGAGGTCTGCTGAAACCCATAAGTCCGAAGTAGCTGACTGTGCTTTAATGGGCGGCCAGCGGTAACGAGGCCGTCAATCAGGAAGCTCCAGGCCTGAGTGGCTTGTTGGCCACGCATCCTACAACTCCTGACTGGAGAAATGAAGACAGGAACAAGACAGGAAACAGGAGTACCAAAAAAAAAAAAAAAAAAAATTCAAGATGGTCCGATTATGAAAGCAGTAAAGCTAGCTGGAAACAGGATTTTCACAGGGAAGGAGGCAAATCGATCATGACAGGATAGTAGAGAACAAACAGGGAGCAGACATTACGCTGACATGACACGACTAAGAATAACGCTACACAAATCTTTTATTCCTATTTCTGCGTGGTAATATACAAATACAAACGGTTATTTTCACTCCGATCTGTCCGACTATTGTGACATTTGGGCCAGCTAGAGTGTGTGGGTGTACTTTCATTTGCATGCAGACAGAGGAAAGAGAATCACATACAAGGCAATGTCCTGACAGAACACCGATTCAAATGTGAAAACTATCACTTTTATGTTTAAATATGCCTTTCCTTTTCATATTTCAGTTCATTTTAATTGTCGGTCTTTAAATAAATTGTTTTTTGAACCTTTTTCTGTTACGTTTTTCCTTGCACTTAACTTTCCACCAACAGGCCTGGTTGCAACACCTTGGTTAGTAAATGTTGTGTTAATTGTCCGAGAGTGAATATCGAGTCAGCATGATTGTAGAAGTCATATTATTGGGATTTAAGCATTAACATTACTGTTAATTGGTCTCCAATAATCCAAGAGGTTGAAGTTTCCATTATCTGGAAGCCATAATCATCATACTGAAGAGTAAAACAGGAAAATATCTCACTTTGTATGCAAACTCTGGACAAGTAAGCGTTTCCTTTTTTAATTAATTTGAAGGAATAAACTTACTTTTGCTCATAAAAAAATATTTTGAAAAAAGAAAAAAAGAAGCCATCTTTATTAATTATCTGTAACAGTAAAGTTGAAGAGCTGCAGCCAGAGGGGTTAAACCTTAAACACAATAAGGACCATCACAATACATTCGCTCATTTGAGAAACGTATAAATATAAATAAATCGTCGTCGAGCTTTTGCTCATTTTGCATTTGGTGTGTGAGAGAGCAGACGTATGTAAAACACCTAGCTTGCTGCTGGTGGCGCTGGGCCTGCGTGCAGCAGAGGATTCTGCAGCTTTCTTGGGAACTTTGGGAATCTTGAAAGCAGCCTGAGCCGAGGAGGAGCGCCCGTCCACGCTGTCGTCATCGTCGAAACTACGATCTGCAAAAGGGAAGACGGAAAGAAGCGTCACGACACGTGCCAAAATCCTCCGAAGGAAGAAAAGAGGAACGTAACTGCAGTAAGACGAAACGGAAGAGGAAAAACTCCAGTTGGGTTTTCGGGATGCAGTCCGAAATCTTTAAGTTTCCAAATTACAGAAGGGAAACTTTATAAATGAAAAGACATTTTCCTGAGTAAGGGAAGTGACGCACAACGTTTACCTGTATTTCTTCATTACATACACTTTAACCTTTGATTTTATTTTTATTTTACCCTGTTGTTACAATATGGATCTCGTCTGAAATAAAGGTAAATTAAACTACACTGAGGACAATACAGCTGCAGCTGAAAATAGTGCAACAACTTATAATCAAAAATGAGTCACAGACCGTAGCTTTCGGACAGTTCATTCAGGAATGACTGAATCGATACCAATGATAGCCACTCCACTTGCTGCGAAGAAGAACAAGAAAGAAGCCGTTCACTCGAGGTATCCAACTATTCAACCAGTGAGTGGCAGACCTCCTCTGGGGGAAAATCCTTTTTTTTTTTTTTTTGTGAACGCTAGCAGAAATAAAGCAAGGCAGGGATCTGGGACTGAAACCTGAGACCTGTCTGCAACAACGATGTGCAGAATAACATGTGGACGCACATAAAAAAAACGCGCACACACACACACGTCCACTGTGGAGATGAAAACTGTTGGCCCGGGAATGCAGTCGAGCTCCCGTTGCTTTGACAACCAGCCATGGAGAAATGCGCTAAAGCCACCACCCTACACGTTGACACACACGTCGGCTCTTCTACAAACGACCGCAGATTGTCTCCATCAAAGAGACGCGAGCGTGAATGTTAACGGGAGCACGACTGTCCAGTCAAACCGAGGCTCCGTTGTGTGTTTCAAAGCAAATGTAGAGAAAGGGTACAAACAGTCTGCCGTGGGTTAGCATCCACACACACACACACACACACACACACGCACGCACGCACGCAGCCAAGTCCATCCCTGCACTCACAGTCACAGATCCGCTGGCAGATAAGTCGTCTCATGCTTCTAGGAGGGCGTGGTGTGCCGGGGTCTCCTCTCTTCTCCAAGCCGTACCCCCAAATCAGACACACACACACTCTCCTCACACACACTTCATGGTGAAGGCTAAAACTGTGCGTCCAAAATCAAGATAAAAAAAAAGAAAAAGAAAAAAAAGTCCGCCTCCACCCAGACAAGTGCCGGCATTTTCCTTCATTTCTCTCTCCTCTCCATCCCTCCCTCCCTCTCCCTCAGCCTCTCTCCTCCTTCCCTCGGCAGCCCGGCGGGCCAATCAGATGCGAGATGACATCATGGTGCTCCAGCCAGTGCGGAGGCAGGCCTCTCGGTTTGTGGTGGGAGGGAGAGAGAGAGAGAGAGAGAGAGAGAGAGAAAAAGGGAGACACACACAAAATCAGACACCCCAGGAATATTAACGGGGCTGCTTGGTGTGTTCATGCCAGACAGCCTAACCTGAACTCATTATCCCCGACAACGCAGCCTCTCACTGCCGCCCCCACCCGCTCTGCTGCGCGTCCACTTATAAACAACACAGTCATTGTTTGAGCAAAAATGTTACAGAGAGAGAGAGAAAAAAAACACACTTTTATATCTAGACTCTAATAAAAAGAACAAAGAATGATCCTAATGTGATCATTAGGATGTGATCCTAATCATCACATCACTAGATGTGATGATTAGGCACGACCACGCCCATCAAAGACCTCGACCGTCTCGCCACCCTGACTTGATTTACCACTCTCTTTTATTTTATTCAGTTAGCCATAAAATTAAAAACAGCGGCTTTACATAATACAACATCTGTGAAGTTTTATTTCACATAAAGACTATTTTTAGAGTATTAAGCCACTGTAGTAACTCCTAAGAACAAAGAACTATATTAAAATTATGCAAGTGAAGAAGTCAACTGGACTCTAACAAATTGTAGCTGCGATAAAAGATATGCTCGTTTCAAATGAACAAATAAAACTGTCTATTTTTCTGTCACTTTAAGTCGGATGTCAGACACTCTTTTTCTTTTTGAGTTCATTTTTAAAGACAGTAAAATGGAGAGCTCTCCAACAAAACTCCAGGGTCATAATTGGCAATATGCAGTAACCTTTTGGCCATTGATTATGAATCACTGGCCATCACAGGGTTAGCATCCTTTGCCTTTTGTCTAGTCAGACCCCAGGGGAGTACATGTGTCAGGGTGAAGGGCAGAACAAAGACAACAGAGAAGAGTCCAAACGAACACACATCGTTAGTCTAATTGTTGACTCGCAAACTTTGATAGTTCGCCAAACCAAAAAAATTTCATTCTGGATCCCGAGATTCAGCAATAATGATGAAACGCTGACAATAAACCAGGCCTGCACACGCCAACACACACACACACACACACACACCCACAAACAGGGATAACGGCTCCCCATGCACTAGACATGGTTGCCATGGAAACTTCAGGCCGAGATTCCCTCCTCTCTCCGTTTCAGGAGAGCAGTCGAAGACAGGAATAAGGGAGGAAGAAGAAAGAAAAAAAAAAGGATTGTGTCAAATGCTTCGATTTGACAATATTCCCAAATTCATTTCAACACGCTTGCGCACAAAGTCTGCAAACTCCCGGTTCTTCGAAAACTGCAAATCCAATAAAACGCAAAAAAAAATAAGCTGATGGATGACAGAAAAAAAAGGAAAGAGGAGAAGAGGACTTCGATGTTTCATCAGGATATCCGTTACAAGCTGACAGAAAGAAACGGGAAATCTATGCGGAAAGAGAAAAAGCTGATGAAAGACGCATTTAAAGATCTGCATAAGCAAATTTATTTTATTAATGTTCTGACCACAAGGGGGCAGCACGGATGCTGTTCTCAAGGTGAATTGGGTAGGTTTAAAAAAAAAAAAAAAAAAAAAAAACACACACTCACTACACTGACAGCCTGTGGCAGCGCTGGTCTGATGTGAGCTGCAGGGACACAACGACCATGAGACAGTGAGCAGCTTCAAAAGACGGGAGAGAAAATAACCCTCATGTGGGATCAACAATAGTATGGAAAAATATTTTGATTCTGTAGAGACTTGCAGTCAACTGCTTGATTACAAAACACCTAAGCAATATCGGCTATTTACGTTATTAGTGAGGTGCTTAAAATACGGTCAGGAACGGCACAAAAGTCATAAGAAGCTTGTAAAGAAGAAAACTGTTTTCTATTGAGGATGATCAGCCGTTTCTAGAGCAAGGAGTTCAAAGTAGGTAGCGAACAGAAACATTTTACAGAGAAGTTACTCTGTTTTATTCCTCTGAAGAGTCGAACTGCTTCATGGGATCTTCTAGCTGAGGAAATACTGCAAGTGTGGAAATCTCTGTTAATGTAAGGATTTACTAAACCTACAGAAAACACACAGACCGGCGTTTACAGCTAGCAATGCTAAGTATGGAAATCATCATCACACCTGGAAATTTTAGAGAAAGTGTAAAACAACTCATTTTGGATTTGTTTTGAAATAATAAAACTGTTTAACTGCAGAGCTGTGGAACGTTGACTGCTCTCTGTCTCTGTCGCACACACCATGTGGCATCTCCTCTGCTTCTATTATAACGACAAAATGCTGCCAAAGGATTGTTTACTGTTGCAATTAAATGAATTGGTAATTTAACGCTGCATTAAAAAGTTGGACATCTCTACTGTGCATTTGGAATCGAGCTTATGATCGTATTTGAGAAAGCTGTCACAATTCCACTTCATGCAGATAGTAAAACCGTCGTTTAATTGATGCAGGATTCAATAAAAGTGATATAAAACTCGCAAGGAATTGGCTAGATGGTGTATCGCTAACCAAACTGTATGGAAGAGACGTAATATGGGACA